TCACAAAATAAGGTCAACAACAGATATGAAGTTAAAACAAAGACAAAACGAAAAAGAGTAAAAAAAAAAATATGTCACCATAGAGTTGAAAAAACATACCACTGAATAAAAAACGCATGGGAGACAAAAGATAACACAAAAGCCTAATTTGCATGATGGTTTCCTCAGAGAGGATATATGGTATTTGTCCTTTTGGGCTGGGGGTGGGGGTGGTAATCCCAGTCCCTACATAATTGTACCATAAGATTCAAAATTAAAAAATTAAAAAGTGATTTATTTATTAAAATAACAAATAATTTTTTAGAATTATAAACTACAATAAAAATCGAATAGATGAAAATTGTAGATTCTCTGTTAACTAATTACTGAATTCACCAATAAGTTGACCCTTTTACAGAACTCTTATGGAAATATGTTCAGTTTGAAAACTTTCATCAAGCTACAATTTGATTCTCAAGTGCTACCCTTCTTAAAAGTTACCCTAAATATTAAAGAACAATTGTTAGTCATTATTATTCCTTTCTTACTTCAGTGAAGGATATATTTCCATAAGAATATATAAGGAACTCATACTCTGCATTGTACGTATATATATACGTGTATATATGTATATATGTATATATGTATATATGTATATATGTATATATGTATATATATATACACTACTTTCTAAATTTATTTTAAATCTATAGAAAATAGATTTAATTTCATTGATAGATACAATTCTAAGAATCTAAGGATAATTTCCTTTCACCCACTCCCTTCTCCTTCCTTTCTTTCTTCTCTTTTCTAATTTTTGTGATAGCGTATTTTGAATTTATTTTGCAATCACATGCTTAATGCTCGACTAAATAGAGAGCTCAGAGTCCCTTATCATGGTATAGTAGGCTAATCCTCTGTTTGTAGCATCAACATATCATAGGAGCACTGGTTCAAATCCACTTCCAATCCAGCTCCCTGTTTATGACCTGGGAAAGTAACGGAAGATGATTCATGTTGTTAGCCCCCTTGAACCTTGTTTGGGGAGACCGGGAAGAAGCTCATAGCTCCTGGCTTCAGACTGGCTCAGCTCCAGCCATTGTAGCCATTTGGGGAGTGAACCAATGGATGGAAGATTTCTCTTGTCACTTTTTCTAAATGGGTAAATATTATATATTCACATATATAATAACATATATATATAAATGTATTATACATATATTTAGTTTTTGCTTGTTTGTACTCCATACTAGCTACCACAATCAGAGAAAATACGTAATATTTGTCTTTTGGAGTCTGGCATGATTGTCTTCAGTAACTTTTGTTGCAAAAGACAGAATTTGGTTCTTTTTTTATAGCTGATTGTTACTAGGATACTTTTTCAAAGATTTATTTATTTAATTTTTAAATTGGAAAGTCAGATTTACCAAGAGGAGAGACAGGGAGAAAGATCTTTCACCTGTTGATTCACTCCCCAGGTGGCCACAATGGCCAGAGCTGAGCTCTGATCTAAAACCAGGAGCTACAACCTTCTTTTGGGTTTTGCAAATGGGTGCACAGTCACAAAGGTTTAGGCCATCCTTGTCTGCTTTCCCAGACCACAAATAGGAAGCTGAATGGGAAGTGGAGCAGCTAGGATATCATCCGGCATCCATATGGGCTCTCAGAGTGTATAAGGTGGGGACTTCAGGCACTAGGTTACTGCACCAAGCCCTAGGTTACTTCTTAAAAGTTTGAAAATTCCCATGTTCAGTATACACTCAAAAAACTAAAACCTCCAGAGGACAAACCCTTGAATTTAGCCATTATTTACCTATCTGTTGTGTTTTAGTAATACCAGAAGCTCATACTCATCAAAAAATCCTAAAGCCTAAGTACAAACAAAATAGTTGCAAAATACCTTGTTCCAATAAGGAAGTACAAAGAATTATGCACAAGTATGTTCTCTGAAACTCTCTGTAGTAGAGAAAAACACATGAATGCTCTTCAGTTAAAAAAAAAGAATTATCATGCAATTACATAATGGAATACTACATTTCTATAAAAATAAGTGACCTCCATCTATCCATATATAGCAGTATTGATGAACCTCACAATCATGATCTGCAAGAAAAGTAGCTTGTCTACACGTGTGTGCTCATCTATAAATATATGTAAACACATACATTCAAGGCAAATAAATATGTTGCATGCTATAGTTAATTTAATTTTATGATTCAAATATTTCATAAATTAATATGATTGGTTACAGCCTTGCCATTGAGATTCAGTATAAACACATTATTTTTGATGGGCAATCATGTATGAATGCATTTATTGAGACAATATGTATGAAAATCATGTGTATATGAATTAATTGGAAATTGGCTGAATAAAGTCATGTCAATGCTCCTGAGACACTAAAAACAGGTAGAATAGCTAAATGTTTGCTAACCTGAATATATTTTTCAGAGCCTAAAAACATTTTCCCACAAATAAAAAAACGAGTTGCAGCAGCAGAGAAATTTGATGGTATATGATATGATTCCATTAAAATAGATGTGTGAATAGATCCCGTGAGTATGATAGTTAGGAACAGATAGCGGGCATGATAAATGTGCATTTTAGGCACCTGATGCTTATATAGTTTAACAACTTACATAACTAATGTTTAAGGGTAAAAAATATATACTAATTTTAAATTTTTAAGTGAAATGAATTATACTAAATATTTTTAAATGATCATTTAGTCTCTAATTTATTCTTTTTCAAAAAAATTTTAGTAAAGATTTTTATTTATTTGAAAGACAGAGTTACAGAGAAAGACCTTCCATCCACTAGTTTATACCCCAAGCAGCTGTGACAGCAGAGCTGGACTGTTCTGAAGCTAGGAGCCAGGAGTGCCTTCCAGGTCTCCCATAATGTGTGTAGGGGTCAACTCAAGTCCCAGGTATTCCACTTTTGATACAGTTCTCTGACAATGTGCCTGTAATGGCATCAGGTGATGGATATGTGGGCCTCTGCCACCCACGTGGGATATGAGGACTGAGTTCTATGTTTCAGTCTGGCTCAACTCTGGTAATAGCAACCGTTTGCGGAATGAACTAGCAGGCAGATCTCTGTCTCTCTCTCTGTAACTCTGCCTTTCAAATAAAAACAGATTAGTACTTTTAAGATGAACTAAAACATGAAAAAAAAGTAAAATAAAGCAACATTTAAATACAACTAACAGGACAATAGTCAATATCAGTGGACACTTATGTGAGAAAATTGGATTGCTCATGCATTATAGATACCAAGTTCATGAAATGTGTTTCAAGACCGATTTCTATGACATTTAAAAATATCCACACTTATATGTATAACAGTGATAGTTTCAGGAATTAAGAACCCTGATGTAAGCACCAAAATTCAGTAAAGAAAAAAGTTTGATCAATGCCATCTCTGAGAGTAAAAACTGCAAATAGCCCAAACCTCCATAAATACAGCAATGTCTGTGTGTGTGCTATCTCTATTTTCAAGGGAAATATTCCCTTAGTATATGTCTTGAAGCAGAGACAAAAACTGATGCTAACATAATATTTACATGATGTTTTATTTATGTTCGTTAACTTCACTGACACATTTCCCCAACATCTTGGGAACTTGCTTGGCCCAGGATTAGGACAATGTGGGAGTAGCAGAAATTTTAATATTTACAGGGTAATCTCCACCAATAGAGGCCCAAATCTGAATGAACATCCAGGTTCCCATTTTTAATTGGAATAATCTTGAGGAACATTCTGCACCAATCTTTCCACTTCCAGGGTTCCTAGCTGCTCTGTCCCAGTCACTTTTTAGCTATGTCAGTCTCTGGTACTATACTTTTAAAGAACGTCTTCATCCTAAGCTTATATACCAAGTACCCTTTCTTATGTTCTGTTTTAATGGTCTTATGTCTTTTTCTCTAAACATTTTGTGTTCCTCTGAAAGTGTGTGAAAGACAAAAGTCAGTTCCTTACTTTTACAAATGGACAATTATCCAAGCATCATTTCTTTTCATAGTTTAATCTTTTGTCACTGATTCCAAATATTTGAATCAACTTATTAACAATACTGTGTGTCTCAGTTGCACAGTGAGCTTTCTCTTCGTGTTCATTTATCTATGTTTATTTAGGTACAACACTATTTTAATTTTGAAGCTTTACAATGTCTTTAATCTATCAGTGAAAATCCCTAAATCATTGTTCTGTTGGAAGACTCCACTGGGAATCTACTTTAGAGGAGAAGCAAGTGCTTCTTATAAAACTAAGGAGACATTAACCCAAATTAGAAGACACGGTTTGTCACGAGCTCTTAAGATGTGAATATCTCCCAGTAAAGCTCAAGGTACATCACCTCCTGGGAAGATCCACAGATTTTTTACCAGGGGACTCATCAGCTTAGGTTTATATTTCAAAGACCTTAAAAGTAGCAGAAGAGAGTTCTTATATATAATAGGATCCAAGCAACACAAGGGAGTTGCCAGGTCTTACGACTGGAATCCCATTTCTTCAACTAAAAACAGTAATATAGTCTAATGATAATATGCAGATGGCAAATTTAAAACAACCATCCCTCTACAAAAATAAAATAATTAAGATAAAAATATTTAAATGCCATTTTGCACCGCTCTTCCAGATTTTGTAACCTCATTTTGCCTCCTGCCGCTTTCATCTCACTCTGTCACAACTCGCCAACCTGAATCAATCTGGAACCAACCAGGATGGCAGGGTAAATTCTGGGATTTACTTTCTGGAATGGTCAAAGGGAGAGGAATAGGCATTCAGAGACATAGCATATGCTGAAACAATTCTTTAAAAAGCTCCAGCAGAAATCCGGACAAGATAAACGCAAACTAGAAACTAATAAGACCCCTTTGGCCTAGGAATTGCTAAATAAGAAATGAAAATAAAGGGGCGGGCAGTGGCTTGTGGTAGCAGAGGAGAAGGCTGGAATGAGGAGAAACGGGGCTCCGCCCACGCTCCCACCCCCCACCCTTCTGCCGCACTGCAGGTGTGAATGGTAATTGCGCCTCTGAGCTCACAGTGACGTGGCCTTTGCGAGGTCCAGAGCCGAGGCTGCGTTTTTCTCTCCTCCTAGTTGCGGACTGGCGGTCGTTTGTGGCGGTGCAGCAGCTCATTGTTCGCGCTGAAAAGCGGGCAAGCCTGTTGTCCAAGGAAGGAGGAAAGCCGTGAAAGCTAACAAGATCCTTGGCAGGTTGGTAAGCACAGACTGAGGGGAGAGGGGGATGGAAAGGGCAAAGACTATATTGCATATGCTACCCCTTCCCCAATGCCCACCCATTTTGTGCAGAAAAAATGGGGTGGGGAAATTAGCTGAAAGAGCTGAAGAGGGGCCGGCAGTCCCGCTATTGAGAGTGGGTGCGCGTTGGGATCTTCCTGGAGGCTGGTGATCAGTCAAGGTCTGTTGCATGCAGAAAACTGCGAGAGGTGTTAACAAAATGGCAAAATTCCTGTAGGGCCGCCAGTGGCGGTGTAACTGGAGGCCTGGGGATGAGGAGGAGGGACTCCGTGTGGATCCCAGGCCTGCATTGTCTGTATCGTTTCTTTATGGTCAGTCTATTTGGAGTCGGAGATGATAGGTTGCAGGGGGCGGGGCGGGTAACCGCTGCAAAGGAGGGGGGCGGGGGGTAGGTCAGGGAAGCCACGAAGGAGCAGACAGGATTCTGGTCGAGGGATAGAGGCAGGAGCTAGAAGCTGTTTCTGGTTCCTGCAGATAAATGTAAATGTGGGCACTGCTTATAGACCCTGGCTTAGGAATGATAATACGCCCAGACTTCAGTGAGTCCTGACTTATATCCACAACACCTCTTTGCCCATCGTCCATCTTGATGCCTAAAATGGTGGGCATGAGAACAGGGTGATCTGGGGATAGGGCAGTGGGTCTCACATGACCCTAAAGCATATCTGGATTGAAATGCTTTGTGAATAAACCACGTCTCCACTGAGCAAGCTTGTCTCACACCTCCACCACACAAACTGTCAATCTGTTTTCAAAAAATATATATAATAATTTGAGATAAGACTGTGAAGAATAGAAGTCTCAGGAAGAGGTTAGAATTATTTTAAAATAATTACTTTGATTGATTGCACTCTTTCTGGAAGGTGAAGTAACCGTTACACAGTGGAAAAAAGAAGCCAAAAGATAGAAAAGAAATAAAAGTTGGCAATATTTGACTAGGAGAGCTCTATATCAACAGTGGAGCTGGTGGCCCCAATACCAGCATTTGATCAAGTTGATCCGTCCTGACCATTGTCGTATCTTTATTTGCAGGTCTTTAGTTCTCTAGGTGCAGCAGATTTCAAGGCTGAAAGAAAGCTTCTGGTCACTGCAGGTAGGGGGGTGCCTGGGATCTTGTGGTGTAGAAATATCAGGGATCAAAATAAAATCTGGGTTACCCCATCTCCCCACACAAGTGTAGTAACATTGTTGGTGAAGGCCTAAGGGCCTAACGAGATGAGTTCTGGGGTATCCCTGGAGGGATTATCAAGATCCCTGGGAGATGAGGTATGGTTCCTCAACCACTACCCTACTATCCTGTCGTACAGTCTTGTGGGAGTGGCCTTGAGAAGGATTTTCCAAGAAAATGGTGGACTTCGAACCAGGATCAGGACTGGAGTGCCCCCTAGAGGTATCATGGAGTCTCTGGTGAGAAAAACCTGCCAGAGCGAGCTCTGAATACTAACATTAACTGCTCACTCTCTCCCTGTTGTTTTTTTTTGTTTTTGTTTTTGTTTTTATCTCCTAGAAAGAAGAAACAGGAAAACTCTCAACATGGAAAATGTTTCCAAAGAAAGTAAAGTCGAAGAGCAGGCCCCAGTGAAGAACGAGGAGGAAGCCCGTCCCATAGAAGGCGGTGAAGGCCAGCAGCCTGCTGGCAATGTTAGAGGGGGTTGGGTTCCACCTGTTCAGGATTTTGAAGAAGATATGCATGATAGGCTTGCCAATAACATTGATTTGATAGATGGAGAAGCAGATGACATGGAACGGTTCATGGAGGAGATGAGAGAGCTAAGGAGGAAAATTAGGGAGCTTCAACTGAGATACAGTCTGCGCATCCTTATAGGGGACCCCCCTCACCATGATCATCATGATGAATTTTGCCTTATGCCTTGAATCTTGAGGCTAATGATAATAATCCCCCTGCTTTTCAAACTAACATTTCTTGATGTAAGCTTAACAGTGAATCTTTTGGTGTTCTCTTGCTGTTTGCTGATTGCACATTTTCCTCTTTGACTTTATCTCTGTTTCTGTCAGCAGGGGAGTGTCATCAACTTGCGTAGAAAGATGCTCATCTCACATCATAAAGTTAATAAAGCAATTTAAAAAGCAATCAATGGGTGTTTTTATTTCATCTTAAAGCACATATATTCACACTATTCGTAATATCGGGGAGGCTATTGCTCTAGACATTAAGATCCCTCTTAGGACATCCACATCCCACATTTGAGTCCACATCACTTTACAATTCCAGCCTCCTGCTAATGTTCAGGAAGGTAGTAAGTGTGACTCAGGTAGGTGTATTTCTGCTACCCACACGGGAAACCTAGACTGTCCTTCTGGTTCATGGTTTTGGTCTGGGTAATCCCTGTTATGAAGTGAAGTGAACTAGGGCATGGAAAATCTCCTTCAGATAAATATATTTTAAAATAATATATGAAATGCAATGTATAAAACAAGATGTGTTATATCTAAGCAATATAACTATTGGTACTTTCTTTATTTTTCCTGACTTTTCCAAAACATGTATATTTTACATGTATCAGCAAAATGTAAGCAGCAATGAAATGCCAATCATCTTATAAAGAGCAATTAGTAGATAGTTAAAATAATGTAATGCTATATAAATCTCAGTTTATCTCTGGATCTTGAACGTAAAAGAACAAATCTGTTATTTACTATACACACACTTATCTAAAGTCAGCCTGTTCATTAATCAAATGAAATCAGTAGGGCCCAGTGCGATGGCTCAATGACTAAATCCTTACTTTGCAAGAGCCAGGAAGTCATATGGGTGGTGGTTCATACCCAAGCTTCCCCTCCAGCTCCCTGCTTGTGGCTTAGGAAAGCAGCAGAGGATGTCTCAAATCCTTGGGACCTTACAGCTACATGGGAGACCCAGATGAGGCTTTTGGCTCCTAGCTTCAGATTGGCTAAGGTCCAGTCATTGAGGCCATTTGGGGAGCAAATCAGTGGATGGAAGATTTGTCTGTATGTCTCTCCTTCTCTGCATATATTTGATCTGCCTCTCCAATCAATCAATCAATAAATAAAACTTTTGAAAAAAATAAAAGCAGCTTATGCCTTTATAGGGCTGCTGAGGGAATGAAATTTAATGACAGAGGGGTCCTGCATGGTGACCTAGCAGCTGAAGTCCTCACCTTGCACGTTCTGGGATCCCAGATGGACACCGATTTTAATCCCGGCAGCCCTGCTTCTCATCCAGCTCCCTGCTTGTGGCCTGAGAAAGCAATTGAGGACGACCCAAAGCCTTGGGACCCTGCACCCATGTGGGGGACCTGGAAGAACTCCTGGCTCCTGGCTTCGGATCGGTGTAGCACTGGCTGTTGCGGTCACTTGGGGAGTGAATCACAGGATGGAAGATCTTCCTCTCTGTCTCTCCTCCTCTCTCTATATATCTGACTTTGCAATAAAAATAAATCTTTTATTTAAAAAAAAAGAAATTTAATGACAGTATTCTGGCTGTCTCTAACCACGCATGCAGAACTTTCGCACTCTAGTTGTCATTTATTTATAGGAAAGGGTCCAAAGAATACATGTAGGAAAATCACATCCGCTACCAGGTAAATTTCGCTTTTTCATTCTGTTTGTCTTTATTTGTTCTCTGGACAGTGACATGACTGTTGGTCATTCTTACCTCTGCAGACCCTACCACTGCAGATGTGCTAGGATAATAAAGGTGAAAAAGACAAAACTATTTCTTTGGCACCACAATGGTCTGAATATACATTTTGCACTTTCTGAAAATGTTAAGAATGTCCCCCCTGCCCGGTTTTAGATTTATACTTTAGCCAGGTATATACTTCATCTGTGTTGTCAGCACTCCATGGAGTACCACACTCCAGGATTTTCTCACAGTTCAATCCTCATTCCCTTCCCTTATGCAAATCAGAATGACACTGATGATACAGTGCCCAGAAGTAGAGTGTTCTTTCCATTCTGCGATGAATGAGAGTCATTCTCTTTGACTATTTTCTCTGCAGACATTGCTACAAGTCTCCTCCTTACTTAGTTGGGAGTTGCAGGAGTAGTTCTGTGTTCCCAAGACTGTTCTGATCCATATCACCTCATTCCAGAAGTACCCAGTAGTTCTACTCATACTAAGTTACATGAATTCATAGAAGTTCCCCTATTCCTTGCCTTCGAAGTTTATGGTACCAAATAGACTTCAAATCATAGCTTGGAGGTGGGATCAGTGATGGCAGCCACTGGGTGCCTTGTAAGTTGAACATTTTCCAGTATCATCACTGCTCCCCACTAGATTGTGCCCTTCTTGCCCTTCTTGTAGGTAAGTATTTTGGTCCGTTTATCTTGGTCTTGTCACTGTACAGTACAAGACCTGTAAGCTGTAGGATATAGTAGCTAATCTTAGCAAGGGAAGAGTCCAGAAACATGAATCCAAGTGAGCCTCACTAATGTTGTTTTTCTACAGACTTTAGTTTGCAATTTAAAATGTATCACAGAGAAGCAGCGTTAAACACAAACATTTACACATGTACTTAAAAGCATTATCACTTTCTGTATTTATCAATATAACCTGTATAGACAATCTACACTAGAATTGCCTGAAGTACAGGCTAAGAATTTTTTTAAAAGCTTTAATCTATTTAATCTATACATCAAGAACTCTGTAGTCTTAAATTGTAGAATAGAAAACGAAATGGAGTAAACATGGCTCATTGCTACTAAGAAACTGTGTGAACTTGCAGGACAAACGGCCTATGTGACCTTTAGCACTGATGGGCTCCAGTGCTCATGAATCAAGGCCCAAGTCTGGTTATCTCACAGGTGGTTTCAAGTAATTAAATTGGTGGTTACCTTAATTACTGGACCATGGAAGAGCCAGGCATGGGCTGTGCAGCCAAGATAGGTGGGGAATGTATGGTATTTCCCTCTCACCTTGCAGGCTGTTGTGAATTTTCCCTTTTCAAGTTATTGTGGGCTGCCAATATAAAAACCTTGTGAAAGTGCTGGTCTGAGCCATATTCTGGTAAGAGATGTTGGTCCTGGCTCTCTGGTCAGTCGGTTACCTTGCCTCTCATTTATAATAAAACTGTGTTGTGATTATCACTGATGAATGTAACATTCTGTTTTAGCAGTAGAGTAGATGCAACGAAGTAAATTATAATGTAGGCCCAAGTTTTAATTCATGTTCAGATACTTCCTGATTCATCCCAAGAAAGAGAGAGAAAGAGACGGGGGGCAGGGGGGATACCCATTAGGACTTATGAAAGCACTCTGAAGGCCCTCATTAATTTATATGCAGCAGGTACTATTTTCTCATTAGACTGTGCCCTTCTATAAGAGAAAATTGTCTTCATTTTATGCCATTGTTTTAGTACATATGTTCTCGTGAATGTAACTTTGAATAACCTGAAAAAATTTTAAAGTGGAGCTCAGGATTGACTTGCAAACAATTCAGTCCAACTCACTTAAGAAGAAACAAAGAATCATCTGCTGGAATCCATGCAGTAGGTGTGGAGGACACGAAGGTGTGAAGAAAATAGCTCTCTTGTTTGGCAGGGCCCTTGGGGATGTCTCTCTGACCACCTTGATGCAGTTTCACCCCAGTTTTGCATGGACACTCAACCACACCACTAAGAATTGTATAATCTATTGATGGCTTTTGCAACCGATGTGAGTTTGGGAGTTAATGTTACTGATAATGTCTTGGTGAGTGGTCCTTTAACCACATACAGGAGTACAATTAAGCCCATGCTGTTTCTGGACACCTTATTGTGTGCCTACCCATTTCCCTAGAATCTGGTCCAGACATGTAACATACCTCTGGGAAATGGCTTGATAAGAACCTTACAAACTAACAGAAGTGATGGGAATATGGGATGAAACTGCTACGGCAAAAAATATAGTTACTGTGACCCTAAAGGTTAGCCTGTCCTTACAACTCTTTCGAGCATAGAAAATGTAGTTGTTTTAGCTGCTTTCATAATGTTTAACTACAGGAAATATGGGGTAATTTTATTAACATCATAGAATATGGCTCAGACCAGCACTTTCACAAGGTTTTTATATTGGCAGCCCACAATAACTTGAAAAGGGAAAATTCACAACAGCCTGCAAGGTGAGAGGGAAATACCATACATTCCCCACCTATCTTGGCTGCACAGCCCATGCCTGGCTCTTCCATGGTCCAGTAATTAAGGTAACCACCAATTTAATTACTTGAAACCACCTGTGAGATAACCAGACTTGGGCCTTGATTCATGAGCACTGGAGCCCATCAGTGCTAAAGGTCACATAGGCCGTTTGTCCTGCAAGTTCACACAGTTTCTTAGTAGCAATGAGCCATGTTTACTCCATATTCGTTTACAGCTCTCTCCTTCAGGTCACAGCTTTTCCTCTCTGCCAGGTTTGTGGAGTACAGCTTCCTCTTGAATGACAGCTTCTCTTCTCTGCTGAGCTCTTTTGTCTTACGATTACAAAGAATGAGGCACATAGACAAGGAGAGAGCAAAGCAAAGGACATTTATTTAAAAGAAGCAGACAAGTTCCTCGGCAATAAAAGGGTCTGCCTTGCAGCAGACTATTACATATCAAGACCCCCTGGCTCAGACTTTTATGTTCTTAAAACAGGAAATACACCCTGAACTGTGGAGGTGTATGCTAATGAGACATTCTTTGTGAGCAAATTAGAAAGTTCTGAGTTCTCAATCAGCTTGCTTAACAGGTGCAACAACATCTGAAAATGTTCTTGTTTGTGCTTCTCCCGCAGGCCCCCAGGAAGGTTACCTCGTTGTGTTTCTTTCTTTCCTTATCATGGGTCTCCGGAGTCCCTATCCTTAGCATGAAATGTGGAGTGTAAAAGCAAAGTAGTTGACATATTCCCGACATACAGCAGGTGATCAAGGCCCATAATTTCCTGTTCCCTTAGTATAACACAACAAAGCAGTACAGGTAGGCTTCATCTTTTGTGTTGAAAAAGTATCTGTGGGCCCGGCGCGGTGGCGCAGTGGTTAAGGTCCTCGCCTTGCACGCCCGGCATCCCATATGGGCGCCGGTTCTATCCCGGCAGCCCCGCTTCCCTTCCAGCTCCCTGCCTGTGGCCCGGGAAAGCAGTCAAGGACGGCCCAAGGCTTTGGGACCCTGCACCCGCGTGGAAGACCCGGAAGAGGCTCCTGGCTTTGGATTGGCATAGCATTGGCCGTTGTGCTCACTTGGGGAGTGAATCATCGGACGGAAGATCTTCCGCTCTGTCTCTCCTCTCTGTATATCTGCCTTTCCAATAAAAATAAATAAATAAATCTTTAAAAAAAAATAAAGAAAAAGTATCTGTACACATAGTGGCACTGAAAAAACGGACTCCTTATAACAAACAGCCAAATCCTGAAGTATCTTTGCCCCACAAACCTGAGACTCTTCACCACCAAGAAATAGAAACAAGTAAGTAAAATATGTGTGAGGAATTACAAATATCTATGAAGACTTTTCAGAAACCAAGTGAACACTAAAACTAGGGGAAACACACACATACACAATCAAAATTTTGGGAAATTTGGGAGTTTTTGCTTGTTCTTGTTTCATTCACTCCCTCTCTCTCACAGCACAACACAGTCAAAAGAAGTCAACCAATTGCTGGTTCTGCCTCAGAATGAAACAGACAGAGGAACTTGTTTGCAAAAATCTGGTTTAACTGTCTCACGGCTATCTAAAGCAGGAATGAGAAACATCCAGAGGAGGGCAGCATAAAGCCAGGAAAATCATTTTTTTGCTTCCCTCCCTCCTTCCCTCCCTCCCTCCCTTCTCCCTTCACAAAGCAACCACAGGCAGGAAACAAAATTGAATTAATCTATAGCAGGGTAATTATTAACTTGATACTTCTGCATGGTCCACAAATGCAGTCATAAATATTCAAATGACCGTGGCTCTCCAACCCTGAAGATGGGTATGTGTCTCAACTGATTCATAACCCTGACGCAAAGGATGGCATAATTTGAATATCTTAAAACAGTGACAGGTTTCATAGTGCATGAAAAAGCTAAAGAGGGATTAGCTGCAAAACCACAGATGGCTACGGACTATAAATTATTAGCATAACATACACAAAGGAGGGAAGTTTGGACTTGTGCACAGAGAAATACTAAATGGACAAACTGAGAATAACAACATAAAGGTAGAAATAATAAATAAGCTTTTGGACCAGGAGAATGCATTGATAGAGATATTCAGCAACATAATTGAATATGCAGAAGAGAAACCAAAGATAGCTCATTTAGGGGCTAGCATTGTGGCATGGCAGGTTGTTACTTGAGACACCAGAATTCCATGTCAGAGTTCTGGTTCCAAACCCAACTGTTCTGCTTCTGACCCACCTTCCTGCTGAAGGACTTGGAAAAGCAGTGCAAAATGGCCCAGAAGCTTCAGCTCCTGGCAATGGCTTAGCACAGCCACAGCGTTTGAGGTCACTTGGGAAGTGAGTCAGTGGATGAAAGTGTTTTCTCTCTCTCTCCCCCTTCCTCCCTCCTTCTCATTCTGTTGTTCTGCCTTTCCAATAAATAAATAAATATGTAACTATCCTTTTTAAAGGATAGATCATTTAAAATATTTGAGGTTGGGGACCAGCATAGTGGCTCATCATATTGATCTCTGTCTTCAACACCAGCATCCCACTGAGCATTGATTCCTGTCCCAGCTGCTCTACATCTAATCCAGCTCCCTGCTTGTGACCTGGGAAAGCAAGGGAGAATGGTTCAAGTCCATATATCCACATAGGAGACCCAAGGGAGGCTCCTTGCTCCTGGCTTTGAAGTTGCAAGCATTTGGGGACTGAAGTGTATGGAAGATCTCTCTCTCGCTCTGTAAATCTACCTTTCAAATTTAAAAATAAATCATTGTAAATATTAAAGAAAATATTTGAATCTATGGAACAAAAAGAATAAAAGTGACAATAAGTAAGCAGAACCACAGAAACAGTGGTTAAAGTTTTCCAAAATTTGAGGGAAGACAATTTTACATAAAAAGAAACTTAGTAAATTTTCAGTAGCATAATTCTAAAGATGATCATTTTTGAAATACATTATAATAAAACCAGCAAAAGTCAAAGGCAGGAAGAATATTGAAAGTAACAAATGAAAGCATCTCAACATGTATAGCTGATCTTCCATATCAATTATCAGCAGATATTTCAACTAAAATCTCACAGGTTAGATAGAGGCAATTGGATGAAATATTTAGAGTGTGGAGATACAGAAATAAAAAGTTTTCTGCTTAAAAAAATCTGTCCTTCAAAAAATGAGGGAAAAGAGCAGATATAGTACAATGAGTTATGCTGCTACTTGGGACAACTACATCTCATATTTTAGTGCTGGCTTGAGTCCTGGCTGCTCCACACATCCACTTCAGCTTCCTGCTAATGTTCCTGGGAAGGCAGTGGAGTACAGTCCAATTACCTGAGTTGCTTCCATTCAGGAAAAATGGATGGCATACCTGGCTTCTGGCTTTGGTCTTATGGTCCAAACCAGCCTTACATTTGGAAAGTGAATAAACTCAGAGAAAATCAATTTCTCTCTCTCTCTCCCTCTCTCTCTCTCTCTTTTTCTTTCTCTCCTCTTCCTTTAACATAGATTAAATAAGTATTTTAAAATAATGTAAACAGTTAGACATTCACAATTAAATAAAAACTGAGGGAATACATAATACGTTATCACTAGCCCTGCCCCATCAAAAACCTCTAAAAGGATCCCTTCAAGTAGAATGGAAAGGCTGATAATTAATAACTGTAAGCCATACAAAAGTAGAAAACTTTACAGCAAAAACACATATATGGAAAACATTAAAATGTGCATCACCTTAACTTTGACTTATAATCTTATTTCTGAATTTTATTATTTTATAAAATTGAAACAACTAAAACACAAAAAGTAAATGTAAATCTATGTTAAAGAATACTCAATATATGAAAATGTAATTTGTGACATAAACACAAAGAGAGAGCCAGTGCTATGGCTTAAGAGGAAAGCTGCTGTGTGCTGGTCTGTATCCCATATGGATGCCAATTTGAGTCCTGGCTGCTCCATTTCTGATTCAATTCCCAGCTATTGTGCCTGGGAAAGTAATGGAGGGTGCTACAAGTGCTGAATTCTTGCATCTGTGTGGAAAACCTGAAGAAGCTCCTGGCTCCTGGCTTGGAAAAGCCCAGCGCTGGCCATTGCACAATTTGGGGAGTGAACCAACTTGTGCAAGAACTCTCTCGCTCACTCTCTAACTTTGCCTTTCCAAATAAATAATTGTTTAAATAAAATATACAAAGTGAGTGGAGGTAAAAAGAGAAAAGTTTTATGTGTCATTGAAATCAATCAGTTTAAAATAAGCTGCTATAACTTTTGGCATAGGAGATAAAGCTGCTCTGACATCCCATAAAGATGTAGGTTCAAAACAAGGATGCTCTACTTCTAATCCATCTCTCTTTTATGGCCTGGGAAAGCAGCAGAGGATGCCTCAAGTCCTCAGACCCCTGCACTATTCATGGGAGACCCAGAGGAAGTTCCTGGTTCCTGGCTTGGACCTGGCTCAGCCTGTGCTGCGGATGCTGAGAGAGTGAACCAGTGGATAGAAGATTAGCCAACTGAGCTATCACACTGGTTTCCAGCAAATACACACACACACACACACACAAATATATTAAATGAAAACGTGCAAAGGGATACACTAAGAAAGAATGTCTCCACGCCCCAGTGACTTGTGGGTTGCTAGCATTAAGGATAGAGAATTTGGAATTTAGAAATGTAGTTGTGGGTCATGGCCTGTCCAGATGCTCCCTCAAAGGTAAGTACTTAGAAAAATGAATGGCACCATCCAAGGAGAGAGAACTTTAGATTTAGGAGAGAAGAGAATCACAGGGAAGAATCACAACAAAGCAGCTCAGCTTTCTAGTCGAGCTCTAGGATCAGAAAACAAAAAACAAAAAACCAAAAAACAAAAAACTGGCATTCTAAGTTACACCTGGGGTTCTGGGGCTGAGACTTTTGGCAAAGTCGGGTACACTCTCAGTTTAGCTGTCACACTTAGCTGTTACAGGCATTCTTGAGGAATGCTGTGGGAGGATGCTGTGAGGTGCTTTAGGTAAAGCACCAGGGATGAGAAATACACCTCCTCCTCTTCTAAGTGACACCACCTTCCTCTTAATCCTTGTGCTGTTCTCCCTCCCTCCCCCCCCCAACTCCTAACCCACTATCAAGAGCTTCCTGGCACTTTGGGTATGGAGGTTTAGGGGGGCCAAGGGGGAGGGGCAACGAACTTCAGTGACGCAGCACTCATGTGACCAGTAATGTGTAGACGTGGGCAACACCCCAACGCCCACCCTGTGGTCCTTTCCAGGTGCTGGACCGCTGTCTTGCACCCCGCGCAGAACCCACTCGCTGAGCTGCCCAGCCAGTGAGAGAACAGCGCAAGCTCCAGGAGGTGCAGGCTGTCCCGCGTGCCCACAGGTCAGTGTGGAGGCCACCACTGGCGCGGACCCGGGACACGGTGCAGGTGGCAGCAGCGAGATCCCTGGCCAGGGAGGGGTCGTCGGGAGGAAGGGGCAGCAGAGTAGGCAGCGCGGGGGCGGGGGCCCGGGATCCGGGTGGCAGCCTTCTGGTCCTCGCCCCCCAAACCCCATCTTGTTGGAGCAGGCTGGGGAGGGGGGAGTCCCGCAGTGCGACGGTGAAACGCAGGCACCCTGGGGACGAGACCCCGCAGCCTCTGCGCCTCTGAAGACGCACCGACCTGGGCGAGAAGTGAGCGGTGGCGCAGGCGCTGCCTGCAGAGGAGGCACCGGCGCCACCCGGAGCTGGGCCAGCATCCCTGTTTGTCTCCTGCGGCTTGGACAGAAATGGCGGCGGGGTGCGGGGAGGCAGAGGAGGGAGGAATAGGGTGAGGAGGGCCGGATTCTGCCCAGGACTGAGGCCTCACGAGACCACGGAGCGCGCAGCCCCTGCCCCTGTGCCCTCCCTGCCTGCAGGTCTGCACGTCATTGGTTCCCAGCACCTCTTGAAGCCGGAGAGCAGGAGCAACCTGTGAGGACCCCCTGCAGGTCAGTGACAGGGGGAGGCCTGGAGGAGACCCAGAAGAGTCTCTGGTGAGCAGGGCCCTGTCTGGGCCGAATGCGGGTCCCGCCACCTGAGCCCCCTCTCCACCATTCAGGAGTCCTGTCCCACTGAGATGGATTGGAGCAGGTGGCAGCGCCTGCCAGGCCCTTGGTGGCTCAGACATGAGGGGCAAGGAGTGGGCATAGGGCACACCTGAATTAAGCCCCCCCCCATACACACACTCCTCCAGGGAGCGGGATACAAGTTGGATGTGCACCTGCCGTGTGTCCCCACCTCCTGAGTCTTCCCTGTGTTTCTTTGTCTCCTCCCCTCTGCCCCTGCCTCCAGCCCAGGAGAAGGGGGCATCTGGACATGGAAACAGCCCGCCATAAAAACGAGGGACCACTGGAAAACGAGGGACAGCCAGCAGATGAAGTGGAGCCAGAAGATGAAGACAAGTCAGACGAGGAAGCCAAGTGGGAGGAGGAGGGCAAGGGGAAGAGCGAGGGACAGCTAGGGGACCAGGGCGCGCCGGGCGCTGAGAGCCGAGCAGTCAAGGAGGGCCAGCCTGAGAAGCAGGGTCGGGCGTCCGGGGCGGGCCAGCCCCCTACCCAGGGCCAGCCCGCAGCCCCCGCGGCGCCGCCCGAGAGCGAGCGGCGCGCCGCTGAGAAGCGCCCGGCCGAAGACTACGTGCCCCGCAAAGCCAAACGGAAAACGGACCGGGGCACGGACGACTCCCCCAGGGAGTGCCAGGAGGACTTCCAGGACCGGCATGCCAGCAGCGAGGAGATGCTGAGCGAGTGCGCCGACGTGTCCAGGGCGCAGGAGGAGCTGCGGAAAAAGCAGAAAATGGGCGGTTTCCACTGGGTGCCTAGAGAGGTTCAGGATCCCTTCACCCCTCGGGGCCAACGGGGCGTGCGGGGCGTGCGGGGAGGAGGGAGGGGCCAGAGGGGCTTGCACGACGTCCCCTACCTGTAGCGCCAGAGGCCTGGCGTTCTGCTCTGCGCTCTCCACTGAGAATGCTACCAGCCCCACTTTCCCTGGGCTTCAACCTTAAGCAGATGCTTCGCTTTAGGTGTCGCACTTCCGATCAGCAAAGCCTTTCATCCAACTGCAGCACCTGCCTCTTGGTAGAGGAGTTGCTCCCTTGCAAATGTACCTTGTAATATAACGATACAAATTTTTGCAGAATCGCTGATGTGCTAACAGCCCGTCTTTATAGTATAATTTATGTCTGATGGTGGACACACTGCAATTTTGCATTGAGAAAACCCTCAACGTTTGCACCATGAAAAGCAGGGTGCCTGGTAAACGGTGGCTGAGAGGGGTCCTCAGGGACTCAGAAATGATTTCTCAATGTCGGGAAACACCTCAATAACAGCATGATGAACTTATGACTGTTCATGAAAGACCACCCATTGTAATACTAGAGGGGAAAAAATGGGGTGGGGAGAGCTTGGGAAGAGGGATGGAAAATCCCAAAGCCTATGGAACTGTATCATAAAACAATTAAACAAACAAACAAACAAACAAAGGAGTTCCATCACCTGCTGCTTGGGCCCCTCCATCACTGATCTTCTGATCTTTCGGGGGTAGGGAGGTGGGGCATTCCCATATCTTGGCAGGTGTAACCAGGTTAGTGAGCAGGGCTGTCTGCTTATCCTGCAGCCTCCCCAGTCATTCTCTGGCTCCTCCATGTGTGATTCCTTTTCTTTCTCTTGCTTATTCATCTCCACCTTTTCCTAAAGGATGTGAATTAAGTTTGTCGTGATAATTTAAAACAGCCCTAAAATCAGAGAACAGTGCATGATAATCAATTAAACTGACTAACTTGTGAGTGCAGTGAAGACACCTAAGATTCCTATTGCCAGAAGACAAAATTATAAGTAAAATTCTTTGCCTTTAGGATCCATAGCTAGATGATCAGACTTGTAACAATTCTGCTATTAAGGATCAATTTTTCATCTGTGGTATATAGACAATACTTGCACAAATCTGTCCAAGAGAATAGATAAGGTACTGAGTATGTGGGTTGCCTTGTGACCTGGCCTCCAGCAGGTATTTGGGGATGGAATGGCTCTTATACCACTTCCATGTGGTAGCAGGAAAGAAGATGGAATCACAACCTTGCAGGAAAGCTAAGGAAGGGCTCATCTGTGTCTAGGAGCCAGTCCAGGCAGCTGACAGGTGAGTGCTATTATATTTTCAGTATTTCCAAGTCTACAGAGAACTCTGTCCTTTTCCCCCTGGGTTCTCCACACATTACAGATAGAGGCCTGGAGTTGCTGAAGCAATATAGTCTTTTTTTTTTTTTTTCTGAGTTACCGGTGAGCCAATGTCTACGCAGCCTTGACACATTTAGAAGTGGAAAACATCCTCCCCTCATTTTAGTCACCAGTTACCCATGGGTAACTAATGCCCTAGTAGAACTTAGGCCCCAATTAATACTTTCTGGATTTTTTTTCTTAGCAAAACTGCCATTTATGTATATTTTGTTAATTTGTATGCTTTCACATATGTAAATATTTTCACTAAATTGTAGGCTGGCCCAGAAACAAAGATCTACTGTGATGAAGGCTGTGTTGTTCTCATGGGTTACTACCCTGTCTGAAGAGTCTCCTTGCTAGGATGAGTTCACTCTCAGGAAGTTCTAAGATTCCACCTTAAAAGTTCAGCAAAACATTTAAACTTCAAACTCTTACAGTGATCAGTTTGGATAACATGCATCAGTATCATATGAGGTATGCATTAGAAATGCAGAATCCCAGGTGCTGCATCAAACCTATTAAGTTATGCTCTTCATTTTATCAAGATCTCAAGCTAATTCTGATGCACACTGACGTTTAAGAAGGACATAGAGAGATCATGTTTTCGGGTTCTCAACTCTCACCTCATGAAAAATGTGCCCCAAATTGTAAATATTCACTATATGACACACACCACAGATGATTAAATTGGACTGATAGCCAAACTAGAATTGTCTTTTACCCATGCAAAATAGAACTTGAAATCTCAGTTTAATCAGTCACAATATGTAATTTTTCATGAAATAAGACAGAATAGATTCAAATAGCAAAAAGCTGGAAATAGCCTTGGATTTTGGATATTTATTTATTTTTGTTTGAAAGTCAGATTTTGCACAAAGAAAAGGAGAGAAAGAGAATTTTCCATCTTTTGGTTCACTCTCCAAGTGGAAGCAATAGACAGAGTTAAGCTGATACAAAGCAGAGAGTCAAGAGCTTTTTCTGGATCTCCCACGTGGGTGCAAGGTCTTAAGGACTTGAGCCATCCTCTACTGCTTTCCCAGGCCACAAGCAGAGCACTGAAAAGAAGGCAGATTAGCCAGGACACAAACTGGTGCCCATATGAGATGTTGGCATGTCACAGGATGGAGGATTAACCTGTTGTGCCACCTCACTGGTCACAAAGCCTTGGATTTTTGACACAACATATGTTATCTTAGTTTGTATTTGGACTCCATGTTGTTTCCAGTTTTGTGTAGTACCCAGAGAAAGAAGAAAGATCTAGAATAGTTCTAGACTGTAGAGCATGTTTCTCTAACAAATCCAATTGTATTATGCCTATGTTAAAGAAGCTACAGGAAGTCTTAAAATGCTCCAGTAGAATTACAGTATACATACTCAGCATTTTGGGAAAAAAAATCATTGCATCTTCTCTGGGCAATAGTCTACATTTAATGTGCTGTTCCTGGCTTGCTTATCAGTTTTTGATAAGGAAGAAATTTAACACCTGACAATGAGGCATTAATTTTGCACAAATGAGTTATGCATTATAAATTTATTTCTGGAATTGACATTGCAGTGCAGCACTCTAAGTCATCACCTGAATATGGGTAATGACTTGAGTCCAGGCTACTTCACTTCTAACCCAGCTCCCTATTGATGCACCTGTGCAAAAAACCAGCAGAAGATGGGACACATGTTTGGGCACCTGTAACTTATGTGAGAGACTGAGATGGAGTTCCAGGCTCCTGGATCCAGCTTGGCCCAGCTCCAGCTATTATGGTTATTTGAGAAGTGAACCAGCAGATGGGAATTCTCTCTCCCTCCCCATCATGTGCTTGAGTGCACATATTCCCCTCTCTCTCTAACCCTGCCTTCCAAGTAAATAAATAAATCTTTTTAAAAAAACTCTTCTGAATAGTAACGATTGATGTGGACAACAGTTTTCTACCATTAATTGCAGGTGACTTCAAAACATCAGGCCCAAATAAGTCAAGAAAGGACAAGTAAATCATATATGCAGCTGGATCAGACTCCTTTAGTACTTATTCCTGATAATTCATTATCTCTCTTTTATCCCGTATGTAAAATGTGGCCTTGTGAGAAGTTCTTCATAGCCATAACAAATTAGAAAAACATGAATAAAATAATATCTAAGATCATAGATATAGCTTCTTGACTTGCAGATAGTAGGTACAAATTGATGACTGCTGCACTATGAACTTACTCAAGGATAAACCAGAAAAGCAATGAAAAAGAGAGATGATACCAGCCATCATGAATAGGAGTATGCATCGACTCTGCATTAGGAGGAATATCTGAAGAACTGACTAGAGAGTAATTGGAAACATTTAATTTAGAAAATTAATTCCAAGAAGATCTGGGAAATAGGTTTGTGGATGGGACATTCATGAAGGACACAGACAGTAAAAATACTTATATTCCCTGATGTAATGGTTTACTATTGCATAACAACATATATTTATTAGTTCACAGTTCTTTAGATCAGAAATCTAGAATGGCAAGATTGTGTCCTCTGCTCAGAGTGTCATAAATCTGAGTTCTCATCTGGAGGCTCTGGTGGAAAATCTTGTTTTCGGAATTCAGTTCCATGCTGATATAAGACTTTGATCTCCATTTAGGAAGTTTGCTGGTGGTGGCAACAGTCTGGCTATAAACTTGGTTGTTGCATTTTTTTCATAATAGCACATTGACTTCTTCTTATGCTTCTAATATGACTTGTCTGTCTCCAACAACTCTTCTTTAAAGGATGATATAATTAGTTCAGGCTGACCCAGATAACCATTTCAGATTAAGACCAAATGATTTGAAATCTTAATTAAACTTTCAATATTTCTTCATATCAATATGTAGATTAGTATTTTATTGTCTGGAAAAAGGTATGCATATACCATGGGTTTGTAATGTAGGGAAGACTTCTTAGAATACTGCATACAGGGCCCCGTACAGTAGCATAGAGGCTAAAGTCCTTACCTTGTAAATGTTAGGATCCCATATGGGAGCCAGTTCTAATCCCAGCAGCCCCACTTCCCATTCAGTTTCCTGCTTGTGAACTGGGAAAGCAGCCCAGGATATCCCAAAGCTTTGTGACTTGCACCTGTGTCGGAGACCTGGAAGAGGCTCCTGGCTCCTGGCTTCAGATCGGCTCAGTTCCAGCCACTGTGGCTATCTGGGGAGTGAATCAGTGGATGGAGGATTTTTCTCTCTGTCTCTCCTTCTCTCTATATATCTGACTTTCCAGTAAAAACAAGTAAACCAAAAAATGTACATACAACATACAATGGGGCTTCTGGCCCACAAAATTCGTGTCCTTCTCAAATGTAAAACGCATTCAGCTTTTTGCATGAATGATCAGAATAGCATTTGATTACAGCAAAAGCTCAAAAATCAAAATAACATAATTTATATAACATGAACCAGACGTCGATGACAATTTTGTACATAATCCACATTATGTAGACATCCCAAAAACATCCTTTTGCATCTGTGAATCTGAAACCAAGGAAATAAGTTCTCTTCCTACAAAACTCACACCACACCATATGATAACTAGAAAGACATAAAATAACAAGTGTAGAAAAAATGGGTGACATGGAAGAAAAAAAAAAAAAAGAAATAATTGGTCCCCAGAAGCATTCTTTATTAAATGTTGGGGCTTAGGAAAACCCTTTGAGGCTTTCAGCCTTATGCTGTGTTCCCTTTAGCTTCTCAGCT